TATATAGCTTTGATCGCCAATACTACCAAACTTTCTACTTCGCTTCTATCACTAGCACCCTATTTGAAATATATATCTATTTTTACAACTCTCACCATCCCACCCCCTCACACCGGTCTGAGTGCGTGAGACTATATACATATTTACAAGGTATTTTTTTGCCTCTGATGCTAGATGTAAAGTAACTATCACACTATTCTACTACACACACACACACACACACACACACACACACATATATATATATATATATATATAAACATCCAGTATAGTATCTGCGACTCGCACGAAGGAAACGCTCTCACAGTATGACAATCCCGGACATCCCATAAATATTAGTGTAAAAGATAGAGCGATTGTCGGTTCGAGCCCAATGATCTTATTAATACTGATACTGGCAACGACACTCAGGTGTCTGAAACATGATGGATAGGGTGAGCATTGTCATTAAGCTTGATGCCTCTATCCCTATCACCTGCTTCATCCACAGGAAGCGCTGCAACTGGGCATTGGAGTGAGCACTCTGATTGGATCGGTGTACCGTGTACTGACCAAGCTTATCTTCCCCCCGACGATGACTGTCATCTCTAGTCTGCTGTACTTCTACAGTGGTATGTACAGTAGCATAATATAGGCGTATACGTTAATATATCTCCAGTCTGCTGTACTTCTACAGAGGTATGCACAGTAGCATAATATAGGCGTATACGATAATATATCTCCAGTCTGCTGTACTTCTACAGTGGTATGCACAGTAGCATAATATAGACGTATACGATAATATATCTCCAGTCTGCCGTGCTTCTACAGTGGTATGTACTGTAGCACAATATAGACGTATACGTTAATATATTTCCAGTCTGCTGCACTTCTACAATGGAATGCACAGTATCATGATTTAGGCGTATACGTTTTTATCATCCCGTATTCCGAAACGACATACCTTACCGCAGAGAGGACATGCATACCCGTAGTACTATGCCGTTGGGTGAATGGGTGCTTGCTCTACTTATAACGTAACCTAGACTTTGTTCACTGTGCCGCTTATGACTATCTGACTATCACTATATATAAACTGCTGGGCAAGGCTCTACTGTCAACAACACCCCGGCCATGCACGCTTATCTTAGGTGGCGTATATTTCTCGATATCGTCAAGTAATCCTAACGTTTTGTATCACCTGTATATGTTCTTATGTGACCTACAATGCCCTGGTGGTTCCCGACAACCAGTTTTTTTCGTACAAATATACTATATATACGCATACACGTTCATTTACGTATACACAAAAAGACATATACCTACAAACTGTTAGGCACGTAAAATGAACGTACTTGACCTATACACGTACACAAAAACGTATCCGTAAATCATTTCATTACGAATATGACCTGATT